CTTGATGAACTAGCTGTGGGAGACCAGGTCCCAAGTCCACTCCCTGCCTTGGGTCCCCCCTCCCAAGTCCTTATCATTGCCATCTCCCATTAATTCTCTCCCAGGCAGTGCTAAGTTTACCTCCCAGAACCTTGACTTGGGCCTGGCCAGACAGAAGGACTGCTTGCTTGGCAGTCTTGGAGTTCAGAAGTGGGAGAGCCTCATCTTACATCCATTGCCTCCAGCAACATGTATCCTCCAACTCCATTCCTGCCACTGCTCTTCTCTACTCTCCACAACTTATGGACATTCTTCCACAGTCTTTCATGATAAGCAAACCTCCCTATACCTCTTCAGAGGACCTAAACTGGCTTCTCACATTGTTAACCCTTTTGCCTACCAGGGGGCGCTGTGATTAAATTTTCTTTTGTTCTTGGGGTGGGTTGATGGTCTGATCCCTCTAGGAGTTGGAAGGATTTTTTTTTGGGGGGGCGGGGCGGTACTGGGGATTGAATCCAGCGCTTCCCTAAGTTGTCCAGCCTGGCCTCCAACTTGAAATGCTCCTGCTTCAGCCTCCAGAGTATCTGAGATTACAGGCAAAAACCACAATGTCAGCTGGAAAGGATTATTATTATTATTATTATTATTATTATTATTATTATTTGCTACCCGGGATTGAACTCAGGGGTACTAAACCACTGAACCACATCCTCAGCTCTATTTTGTATTTTATTTAGAGACAGGCTCTCACTGAGTTGCTTAGCGCCTCGCTCTTGCTGAGGCTGGTTTTGAACTTGACATTCTCCTACCTGCTGAGCTGCTGGGATTACAGGTGTGTGCCACCGAGGCTGGAAGGGGTTCTTAAAGCTGCCTGAAGTCTGATTAAATGGCCCAGGAGGTTTCCTGCTAACTTTATGTTCTGGATTGTAACAGAATCAAGTTTTCTCCATGTGCTGGGGCCCTGGCCTCCCAGGGTGGCACTTTGGGAAGGAAGGATTCAAAGCTAGAAGACACACTGGGCACAGTATCTCCAAGTCCTCATGTCTGCCTTTGCAAATGAGGATACTGCTGCAGGGTGAGAGGATCCACCAGGTGAATTGGACATGAGGGAGCTCTGTGAAGCACTGTGCAGATGCTAATTGTTACAATCACTGTTTTCCAGAACACACTATGGTCTGCCTTCATGATTTTAGCACCCAGGACAAGTTTTCCCTCTCCACCTCATCTCTTGTGTTCTGCAGGGGCAGGAGTGACAGGGGCTCATGGAGATGAATATGTATGTGAATGACCCATCAAATCCCTTAGCTCATGGTGGTTTTTCCTTCTGTAATTCCCATGACCTTCAAGTTCAACTACATCGACTCTCTTGGCCACTCCACAGCCTCACTTTGTGTGGTACCATTCTACCCTCTCCATCCCCAGTTTGCTGCTGGATTTGGAGCCTCATGGAGCTCAAAGGAAGGGACCATATGGTTGAACCCTCTTAGGTTGCAGATAGGTAAAGTGAGACCCAGAATGTGACCAGAGTCTCACAGTAAGTCAGTGGCCTTATAACTTGACCATAGTTAAGATTCCTGATTCATTTTCCAACCACTTCCCATTCCACTGGCACCTCTCTTACCTCTATGCTGCACTTGCTAATACCCTGTGTCTTTGTCTTTTGGTCCCTGATGATACCTGCAGGAAACTTGACTCTCCCACTAGGTCTGAAAGGTGGAAGAGAACCGTAGTGTGGGGTGTCACAAAGACTAGAAAGGGGGAGTCTGCTCAAAGGAAGATGAAATCAGATGCTGTGCAGACCTTTGAAGAGGGAAAACTTGGTTGGATTTTGTTAAGAGATTATGGGTGACCAGGATCATACACTGTGCAAAATGAAAATATGGGGCCCTTTGTTCAAAAACTTAAGTATTTCAAGAAAGTGTCAGCAGAGTGTGGTGCCTTCTGAGCACAGGACAGGGCCTCCTGCCACTTCGCAGGTTGCCTGCTCATGAATGAAGTTAGCCCTGTGGGTTAACTTTTGTTTTTCTGTATGTGTTTTTTAATTTTACCATACACCTGTTTTACATATTGAGATCAAATTGCATAAACACCAGTTTGTTTTGCCATTTAAAATTTTTAACACTATACTTTTAGCATTTCCATGTTGTTAAAAACTTTTTATAAGCCTCACTTTTGTGCTTCATCTTTCTAACAGATAGTATATTAATATGCTAATATTTTGAATACTGTTTCACATGAATTATATTGCTAATGTAAATGTTTTACATTTTAAATCACACAATTAAAAAAATACATATATATATCAAAGGCTGGGTTTGATGGTGCATGCCTAAATCCCAGCAGGAGGCTGAAGCCAGAGAATGACAAGTTCAAAGCCAGCCTTAGCAACTTATTGAGACCCTATCTCAAAACAAAAACAAAAACAAAAACCCCAAAAGGGATGGGGATGTGCTCAGTGGTTAAGTACCTCTGGGTTCAATCCCTGGTACCTCGCTCCCCAAATATATCAAAGAATATAAAATGAATGACATATATTATTGTGTTTTTTACTCATACGAGAATGTAAAGGTTAAAAAAAAAAAGAAGCTGTAATTCAGGTATTTTCAGATTAAGAGACTTTTCCATTTCTCTTCAGCAGTCCCCAAACCATTTGAAATGTCATTAGAAGTTAACATAATAAAACTAATAATTTAGTTTTATTCTGATGAGTTCTCAGTAGAAAGCCTGAAAGGTCAAGAACTACCTGAAAAGTAATAGCTGTTTTGTGTGTGGAATGACTTGCATTCCAGAGTAGTACTTTATTTTGTACATTTTATCAGGGCATTATTAGGCATTCAGCAATCCGCTTGACTCTGCCTGGTTCATTTCTCCAAGTGGAATGGCAGACCCATAAAGAAACAGTTATTTTTTTAATGATTTCTACTTATCAAGGCATGAGGAGTGTCCAGCTTCTCCCGAGTTATGTGGCTGTTTGTGGGTAGGCCCTACCATTCCACCTATTTCAGGCTAGGATTCTCTTTCATTGGGGAATTTCCTGCATGAACTTGGTCCTGTTCCATTGTCAGGAGTATCCCCTCTTCTCTGGACACAACATGGTTTCAGAGGTTCAGTCCATTATCGATCCACTCCATTGCTCTGGCTCTTAGGTGAGGCAGAACATCATGGCAGAAAGGTATGACAGAGGAAAGCTTCTAAATATGGATCAGTAGTCCAAGAATTGGAAACGACTTCTCTGCTTCAGTGCTTCTTCCTTGCTGGTCTGAGCTCTCTTCATCTTTGACTTGGTCTTCTCTGGGCTCAGGGTGAGGCAGAACATTATGGGTGAATGGTGTAGTGGAGGAAAGCAACATGGAAACCAGGAAGGAGAGAGAGAGAGAGAGAGAGAGAGAGAGAGAGAGAGAGAGAGAGAGAGAGAGAGAGAGAGAGAGAGAGAGAGAGACCGACCCTGTGGGTTAACTTGGAATGAACAGTTTCAGAAGCATGATGGGGTCAGAATCAGATGGTAGAATACCACATTATGTCACCTCTGGGGATCTACTTATCCCTGACTCATTGTTATGGAATCAATGGAGGCATCTCTCAGCATCTCTCAGGCTCATATTCATCTAAGGAATCAGATACAAATACATTTTCTACATTTGGGCAGGAGAAGCAAACATTTTCTCTGTAATCTTGTTAGTTAAGCTGGGCACACTGCCACTGAATACTTGGGTGTCCATTTTGGGATTGTGGCTAAATGTGGAATAGGAAGCTGTGAAACCCTTCCCCTCCTGCTGCTTTCTCATACTGAGCAGAGGGGTTAGCTAAGGCATAACAGTAGACCCTGGTCATTAATGGAGAGTTATCTCCTTCTCAGACGAAGACAGTTGCCAGGCAAGAGTGGGACTGGGCTACCCAGCACAGCAGCTGGGGGAGAGGCTGGCAATCTATGCACATGGAAGGGGCTACCTGGGGCTGTGGTTATGGTTCCTTAAAGGAGGCTGAGTGCAGGGCTCAAAAAAAAAAAAAAAAAAAAAAAGGGAGATCTGAAGGGAGGCAGGACCCATAGTTATCATGGTACACACTGAAGGCTGGGGCTTGGCAGAAATTTTTCTGACATTCATTCTTTTGTTCACTCATTCAGTGAGGAGTTCTTGAGAGTCCTGTGTTCCAAGTACTGTGCTAGTTGAAGAAAATACAGACGTGTTCTCAAGGTGCTGGTCTGTAGCAGAGGTTCTTGAAACTCATCCTGCATCTTAGAATCAGTTATGCAGAGGATTCATCTGGGATTCATCTGTAATTGAAATTACAATGTGGGGGATCTGGGGTTGTGGCTCAGTGTAGAGAACTTGCCTAGCACGTGTGAGGCGAGGCGCTGGGTTCGATCCTCAGCACCACATAAAAATAAATAAAATAAAGGTATTGTATCCAACTACAACTAAAAAAAATATTTAAAAATTTACAATCTCCGTGGATGGTCTGAGCACTAGTCTCCGCAAGTATTTCTAAGTTGAGAACTGTTGGTCTAGAAGAGATGTAGACATGCCAATGCATGTCTCCATGCATTGACACATGGCCAGAACTGCTGTGCATACAAGGAGCTTTGAAGCACACAGAGAGAAGTAATGTGGCAGAACCTGCTGGATGCCCACATGGTATCCATTCTTTACCTTCTTCTGTGGTAACACACATGATTTGGGAGGAGCTATGTACTCAGTCCCTGATGATTAAAACTGATTGGTCCTTCGGGTATCAGGGATCCTGTTACAGCCCACTTTTCTAACTTCCTTTGACGACTGGAGGTGACCCAATTCTGGTCAATGACATCTAAATAGGAGTTTGGCTGAAAGGATCTCTAGGACAGTCTTTGACTTGCTCACAAGAGAGGATAGGACTAGACCCTGCTCTTCTCCCTACTTTAACAAAGAGGGTCAATTCTAGTAATCTCATGATCACAAGGCAATAAAGCAGGAAGGAAGAATCAAGATCATCATTGAAATGATGGCCAGGACATCACTCAAATAACACCAGCTACAACCTACCTTTCAATTCATTATATGAGAAAGGTAAGTTTCTACTTCAATTTGGCTGCACATTAGAAGTCTTTGAAAATGATGCCTGGGGGCTGGGGCTGGGGCTCAGCAGTAGAGCACTTGCCTTGCTTGTGTGAGGCGCTGGGTTTGATCCTCAGTACCACATAATAAATAAATAAATAAAATAAAGGTATAAAAAAATTCACACAAAAAAAATGATGCCAGGGTCCACCACAAGGATGCATCTGAGGTCTGGCATGTGTCTGATGATGGGGGTTTTAAGCAGTTCTTCAGGTAATTCATTAGATTTCACCTAGGGGAGGAATCATTGCTTCTTTTGGGTTTTTCTCACTGGTACACTAGTTTTCCTAGGGTATCATGCAAAGCTTCACTAAGGAGTGACCTTTGAGCTGGTCTTCACTGCTGGGTTCATCAGGTAGGGAAGCAGAAACAGCTTAACTTCCAGACTGTAGAGCGGGTGGAGCAGCTGGTGGCAAAGGCTAAAGAAGTGGAAATGGACCAGATATTTGTGGGCTTGTATACCAAGTAAGAGAACTGAGACATTGGCAGCGCTAATGGATGGAAGAGGTTTTGAATTAGATTTGATATTTGGATCACTTTGCTGGTTGTGTGCAGGACATGTTGGTGGAAGGAAGACCAGAGATAGTAACAGTCCAGGTGGGAGATGATAAGGGCCCAAGTGGAAGCCATGGCAGGGGAGGAACCATTAGTGTGGCATTCTATGCCTTGCTGTGGCCTGTGGAGTATATGGGAACACCCTTGGGCAGGCCAAGACCGCCTGACATTTATGCTGCTGGGCACATCCTTCTTCAGTCCCCTTAGGCTTCAGTTCTAAGGACCTCACAGACTCTGAGATCCCTTCTAGCCTGATGCTCAGTGTGTTCACCATGGTAGGGAGAGGAGAGGCTGAGGCAGGGCAGGGCTCTGGCTCCCAAGTTCAGGGCCAGGAAAGTAATCCTTTCAGTCTTCTGTCCCACTGATGTTGGAGACCTTCTGCATGGAAGGGGTAATTGAAAGGAAAGAATGTGGGTAGTGACTTTCCCTCTCATGACCCATCTAATGCCAGACTACTGGGCAGTTTAAGGGGGATGGGCAGAAAGGTCTTTGCTATTCTTTTTTTTTTTTTTTTTTTTTAAAAGAGTGTGAGAGAGAGAGAATTTTTAATATTTATTTTTTAGTT